GCCGAACGGGCGGCCGGACGGGACATGACCAACGCGTCCTCGCCAGGATCTGGGCCGTCCGCTCCGCCGCCGAGCGGCCTCGAGGACATGGAAGCGCTCGGCGTCCGAGCGGGCTCGGGCGCCGACTGTGGACGCCTCCCACCTGGGGCCCGAGCAGGTGGGGTCGGTGGACCGCGCCGCATTGGCAGCGTCGGCAATGCATCGGCGCCGTCGGCACGGATGACATCTGGCTCTGCATCGAGCCACATCGCCGATGCATCGGCGATGCGGCGCGACCTTCTGACCCCATCTGCTCGGGCCCCATGGTGGGAGGCCTGGTGAATAGGCTCAGGCAGGAGCCGTGGGGATCCCTCGAGGGGGGGGACCTAGACCCCGACGTCCTGATCTTTTCACAACGGGGACCCCCGGAGGTCTCGAGCAGTTCTCTGGGACCAACTTCTCGTCCTGAGTCGTCTTCTGACGGCCCCGTTGGCCAGCGAGGCTCCCCAGAGGCCGAGAATGGCCAAAACCCGTCCGTCGAGATCTCTCCACGACGCGGGGGGGGTCTGGGCCTGCCCCATGGCGAGCAACAGCCCTCCCAGGCCGGACGTGGCCTCGTCACGTCGGCAGCCCTCCCAGGCCGGACGTGGCCTCGTCACGTCGGCAGGAGCACGGAGACGGGGACGCCGCCCTGCCGGTTCTGGGCGCCGTGCGCTGCCTGGTGCACCCTCTGGCCCTCACGCCGCCGGGCAGCCCGCGCCTGCGCGGCCAGGAGCGGGCCAGCCGGAAGCCCAGGATCTTCGACGATATGACTTTTCCCGTCCAGGCGTGTTTCTGGGAGAGCAACGACATATGTACATGTACGCCCTCCGCGGTCTTGCCTGCACGAACGTCCGCGTTGACACGCACTCCAGGGGAAGCTAACCGTGTACGTGTACATGTTGCTGGCCTCTGAGTTTCCTCGACTTCGGCCTCCGGGGCCCGATCCCCCCGGGGCCCCCGGGCGACCAGAAGCAGATATCTGGGGCGGAGAGCTGGCCCGAAGGGAAAAGGGGGGTCGGACATCTGGGGCCGCGCACTGCACAAGCCACATCTCGGCGGATGTCAACGAGGGGGGGGGGGGGGGGCAAAGGGAGACTTATAGCCGAGAAAATGTGATCTTCACGCTCCAGACCGCCCAGGAGACCTCCACGAGACCCCGAGAGGCCTTCGAGAGCACTCCCGAGAGGGCCCCAAGAGGCAAAATGGATTGATTTGTTGTGTTTTTGAAAGATTTGGCCGTTCTCGCCTTTCCCGCTCCCCGCCGCTCCAGGACGGACCAAAAGGCACTCAATATCGCCCCAAGACGGCCCAAAAGGCTTCCGAGAGCGCTCCAAAACAGCCCAAGAGGACCCCAAGACAGCCGAAAATGCCTCCAAGACGGCCCAAGGGGCCCCCAAGAAGGCTCCAAGAGCGTGCCCAGACGGGGGACCCGAACGGACATTTCGAGCCCTCTGCCCCGAGAAGCTCCCAGGAGGCCAAGAGGTTCCCAAGGGGCCCTAGGAGGTCCACAAGAGGCACCCAGGAAGCCCGAAGAGGCCCCCAAGAGGCTCCTAAGAGGCCCCCCAGCCCCCACAGGCTCCCACGAGACCCCAAAATTCCTCCCCAGAGGCCCCCGATAGCTTTCCCAAGAGACCCCAAGAAGCATCCCTGAGGACTCTGGCCCACGTCAGCGTCATCGTCGCCGCCGCCGCCGTCGGTGTCGAGTCGTCCCCCTTCAGGGTCGGCGGCAGCGGCCGTAAGGCCTTCACAATATGATTACGAAAATGGTCATTGAAGAAATCTGGGCCTGCTTCCCGGTCGTATCTTGAAACAAACCTAGGCCAATTCCTGTTGATCACACTGGAGGAGCGCAAGCGCTCAAGATACTGGGCCAGCTTTCCGGCAAGTTGGTCAAGAAACGCTGGCCAGGCTTTTCGGGCGGAGGTTTCTTGGTCAGATGCTGGACTGTAGTGGATCAGCTCACCACGTGACTGATTTTTCTGGCGCTTCCCGGCGCCAGAGGCGCCATTGTATAGAGGAAGGCACTATTGCCGAAACCCATGGCATTCAGCAGATTGCTCACTCCCCCCACTTACCCTGCCACCCCCTCTCGACTGGCCTGGTAGGGGGGAAGGCAGGGGCCCAGGCCGAGGACGACGGAGGCCGCCACACTGAGGCAAGAGCAGCTGGGGTCGGAGGATCGCGCTGCATCGCTATTGCATCGGCGATGCGTCGGCGACATCGGGACAGAGGAAATCGAGATGTACAGGCATCGGTGGTGCGGCGCGAACCTTCGACCCCGTCCTGCTCCGGCGTCATCTAGGCGGTCTGGAGAAGAGTAGCAGTGGCAGGAAGGAAAAGGCAGTGGGATGGATGAGCGGACGAGGGACTGCGGACGAACCGGTTGACGGAACGGAGACATGGGCGAAAGAATGGGCGGGCCGACTGAGAGGGTGGATCCACCGGCCCTACAGACCGCTGCGGCTCGGATCGCGGACAACAGTACGTACTTGGTTGCTCCGAAGGCTCAGGAATTCAGTGCGGCGTACAGGCTGCATGAGATTGCGCGCGCGAACGCTAAGACAGCCCCCACCTAAGCGAGGCCATAGGCTCCAGCCCCCTGGCTCGTCTTGGGCTCGTCCTCACCCCATCCAGACGCTCAAGCTTCGAGCGAGGGGGGCGCGAGTGAGTAGAGAGAGAGGACGAGGGGAAGTAGATGGAGGATGAGGACTCGCAGGCACGCTGGGCCTAGCACACACCGCTTGCGCAAAGCAAAACTTGGAGGATAAGCAGGGCAGGGCAAGGGAGGAGGAAGGAGGGGACTGGGAGAACGAGGAGTGGAAAAGGAAGCATCTGCCCCCCAGATCTCCAGATCCGAAGCTGTTCGAAGGTGCCGTTTCGCCACATGCTCCTCCATCCTTCTCTTTCGTCAAATGAGGCTCGGCCTCGCCGCACCACCAGACGTGTCGGTAGAGGGGCCTGCGCTATTCGCCTGGGATTTCCTCCCAGAAGATGGTCTGGAAGCTTAGCATGTCCCGCAGCGTTTCCTCCTCCTGATCATGACCATCCTCCTCCTCCTCCTCCTCCTCCTCCTCCTCCTCCTCCTGCTGGCGAGGCGCTTGACAACCTGGACGTCCTTTTTTGGTGGTCCTGCCGAGGAAGGCGCTCTCTGACCCTCGGCCCTCCTCCTTCTCCTCCTCCTCCTCCGCCTCCTCTTCCTCCCCATCCTGATGCTCTTCTTCCTCCTCCTCTCCTCCTCCTCCTCCTCCTCCTCCTCCTCCTCCTCCTCGCACCGTTTCCTCCCTCCTCCTCCTCCTCCTCCTCCTCCTCCTCCTCGTCCTCCTCCTCCACCTTATACTCCTCCTCCTCTTCCTCCTCCTTCTCCTGCTCATCCTTATCCTAGCAACGTCTCCTCCATCCTGCTCCTCCTCCTCCCTCTCCTCCTTCCTCCTCCTCCGCGCTCCGCCTCCGCCTCCGCCTCCTGCTCCTCCTCCTCCGCCTCTCCTCCTCCTCATCATCACATCATCATCAGCATCATCATCAGCATCAGCATCAGCATCAGCATCATCATCATCATCATCATCATCATCATCAGCAGCAGCATCAGCATCATCATCATCATCATCATCATCATCATCATCAGCAGCATCAGCATCATCATCATCATAGTCATCATCATCATCATCATCATCATCATCATCATCATCATCATCATCATCATCATCAGTATTCTCCTGTTCCTCCTCATCCTCCGCCTGCTCCTCCACCATCCTCTTCCTCCTCCTCCTCATCCTCCTCCACCATATCCTCCTTCTCCTCCTCCTCCCCCTCCTCATGTTCCACCTCCTCCACCTCTTCTTCCTCATCATCCTCCTCCTCATCATCATCAGCATCATCAGCATCAGCATCATCATTATCATCATCAGCATCATCAGCAGCAGCATCATCATCAGCATCAGCATCATCATCATCATGCTCCTCACCATCTTTCTCCTTCTCCTCCTCATCATCCTCCCCCTTCCCCCTCCTCCTCCTCATCCTTCTCCTCCTTCTCCTCATCCTGCTCGTCCTCCTCCTCCTCCGCCTCCTCTTCCTCCCCCTCCCTCTTCCTCCTTCTCCTCCTCCTCGTCATCCTCCTCCTCCTCCTCATCTCCATCCTCCTCCTCTCCTCCTCCTCCTCCTCATCATCAGCAGCAGCATCATATCCTCCTCCCCCTCGCACCGTCTCAGCCGTCCTTATGTCTCATCCGCCGCTTATCCTCCTCCTCCTCCTCCCTCCTCCTCCTCCTCCTCTACTCCTCCTCCTCCTCCCCTTCTCCGTCTCTTCCTCATCCACCTCCTTCTCCTCCTCCTCCTCCTCCTCCTCTTCCTCCTCCTCCTCTTCCTCCTCCTCCTCCTCTTCCTCCCCCTTCTCCGTCTCCTCCTCATCCTCCTCATTATCATCACCATCAACAACAACATCAGCAGCATCCTCATCCTCCACTCCTTCTCCTTATATATAATTCCTCCCTGTCGCACCCCGAGGCCAGTTTTAGGGCGGGCTCGGCGTTTCGCCTGAGACGTCCTCACCGTGTGTGACCCTGACGCTTAAAGAATAGCAACAGCTTCACAGCCGGAGGGCGGGTCGTTTTCAAAACGTGACTCTCGCCTTAGCGCCGCGCACATCCCCTTTAAACCTTACAAGAGCTTCACGGATTGGAGGCGATTCCTGTGTTAAAATGCGGTCTTCGCAGTAGCGCCGCGCACATCCGTTTCTTGATTGCAAGAGCTTCACGGGCTCCCATGATCAACATACCAGAAAGGGTGTTTTGGGGGGATTCAGGATTATGCGGGCACGACAGGTATGTTGAGCCGCTGCGCTGAAGTCCCAAGAATGGCGTTCTGGCACGATTCTGGATCGCCAAGACGCAGCAGTCATGTTGACACGTGGCGTTGAAATCCCGAGAACAATGTGTTGGCACGCCTCATGGGATTCAAACTGCTGTCTTCCAACGAGACAGTTCCCTCAATCGAAATGAACCGTTGTACTGACATGTGAAGACGGAGCATGGAGGGGGGGTACTTCCAACATCGTTGAAGAATCTTGCGTGTTCGCTGATCCTCCTCTTCTTTCTCCCCCTCCTGCGATTCTTCCTCCCTTTCCTCATCTTCCTCCTCCACCTCCTCCTAATCCTCCTCCTCCTCTTCTTCTTCCTCCTCCTCCTCCTCCTCCTCCTCCTCCTCCTCCTCCTCCTCCTCCTCCTCCTCCTCCTCTTCTTCTTCTTCCTCCCTCCTCCTCCCTCCTCCTCCTCCTCCTCCTCCTCCTCCCTCCTCCTCCTCCTCCTCCTCCTCCTCCTCCTCCTCCTCCTCCTCCCTCCTCCTCCTCCCCCCTCGTCCTCCGCGTCCTCCGCCTCCGCCGTTTCCTCCTCCTGCTCATATTCCTCCTCCTCCACCTGCTTCTCCTCTCCACCTCCTCAGCCTCCTCCTCTCCAAATCTTCCACCTCCTCCTCCTCCATCCTCCTCCTCCTCCTCCTTCCGCCTCCTCCTCCTCGTCCTCCTCGTTATCCTCATCCTCCTCATCATCACTCGTCCTCCTCCTCCTCCTCCTCTTCCCCTCCTCCTCCTCATCCTCCTCGTCCTCCTCCCCATCCTCTTCCTCCTCCTCCATACTCATCCTCCTCCCCCTCCTCCTGCCTCCTCCTCTTCCTCATCCTCCTCCTCATCTTCCTCGTCCTTATCCACCTCCTCCTC